TTGAAGGGAAAAAAAAAAAAAAAAAAAAAGAAATTAGAAGCGTCCCTTTGCAGGTCTCAGGAAGCAGCACCTGGGGGATGCCCAGCTCCAGCGAGCAGCCTTATCCCCCCGTGCATGCACGAAGCAGCTCGTCCCCGTCACTGTGGCTGCCGGAGTCAGCCCATTTTTTTTTTTTTTTTCAAGCGGGGGCCAATTAGTTTCACAAATGAGGGCCCTACGGTGCCAGGGAGGATTTGTTACGGCCCCGCGCGCCGGCCCAGCAGCATTGTCCTGCCCTCCGCCCCCACGGGAGCCCATTGTCCCCGGGCCCAGCGGGGGCTGCTGGCGGCAGATTTATCGGGGCCGGCGTCCCGCCGGCCGGGGCCTCCGCTCCGCAGCTGGCCGCGGCGCTGGGGGCTCAGCCCCGGGGACCTTTGACCCGTCCTGCTGTCACCGCCGGGGCCGCCGAGGGCCGCGGGGCCACATACCTCTTGGGATTTGCTTCGCACTGCCCGTTCGGGGCTGCCTGCTTTTTTTTTTTTTTTTTTTCCTTTTTTTAATTTTTTTTTTTTTTCTCTCGAGAGCGTTTTGTCCTCAGCTGCATGGGGGGCACATGAGCCTGCAACCCCCCGGGATAAATCCCTGCAGAGGGAGAAAGGCAGCTCCTGTGTGGGGCCACCTCTCTTGCTGCTTTTATTCCCATTTCACTGGGGTTTTTTCTGATTTCAGAGCATTTTTGGGTAGCTCGTTGCAAAGCTGAGATTGAGCATCCCCCCAGGCAGCTCCTGCATCCCCAGCAGGGCAGAGCTGACCGCGGTGTGCCACCACACCTGGGTGGGTGATGGCACAATGCCAGAGCAGGTGACAGTGTGAACTGAGATGCTCTCGGGGATGCCCGTTGTGCATGGTTCCCAGTCTGGAGGTGTGGGTCTGCCCAGGACCATCCTTCCCTGTCACCTGCCTGCACGCCAGGCAGGACCATGGTGCTGACAGTGCTGTTGTCCATCATGTCCCTGCCCCATGGTGCTGTGGTCCTGGTGGTCTCCCTGGGGTTGGATTTTGGCAGTGTGGAAAGCAGCCCTCTGCCCCTGCTGTTCCTGAAGGCTGCATGGATTTGTTGGTTACCTTGAACATCTTGTGCTGCTAATGAATTGCTAATACAATTTTCTAGCTAATTTTATTTCCATAGTCCTCACATTTTAATGTCTCCAAAAAGCGAGCATTTATTTGCTTAATCTCCCTGCGTAATACAATTTGCAGTGACTCACAGTTCTGAACAATCAGCTATGCATAAGCGAAAACAAACTGTTTAACGGCATAGAGGTTTGAGATGTTTATGGACAGGCGCGAGCACCTGGGTTGGGGTTTTGTCCCTGTTATGTTGCTGCAGCCAGGTTTGTACCCAAGAGCGATAGTCTGGAGCCTGGATCTGCCTTGTGGCTGGGGGTCACACACAGCACAAGGGTGGGCACATCACCCTCTCACATCCTGTCTCCTCCTCCCCAGGGCAGCTTCATGGGGCGCTTCTTGGGGTCCCCTTTCCCTGGGACATCACAAGGTCTGAGCTCAGCATCTCTCACCGGTTTGTGCTGATGCACAAAACAGCTGTCTTGTGTTTGGGCATCCCTCAGCATCACCAGGGCTCCCAACTGCCTTCAATGCAATAAGAGCAACTTCTCCTCTTCAGCTGTTCCCCTCAGAGGGCCAGTCTCAGCAGGGTTAGGGTGGCCAGGGTCCTGCTGCTGGGACTTGCAATGACACCCAGAGCCCTGCAGCTCTTGGGGTCCCTTCTGCTGCCAGAGCATCCCTGCTGCCACGTGGGCGTGGGGACCCCCAGGCAGTGGGGTGATGGGACAGCGGGCTGGGGTGCCAGGCAGTACCTAAGCAGGGTCTCTCCCTCTCCCACAGGTACAGACATGGCCGTTTTCTGCCTGCTGTGCGGCAAGCGGTTTCAGACGCAGAGCGCCCTGCAGCAGCACATGGAGGTGCACGCCGGGGTGCGCAGCTACATCTGCAGCGAGTGCAACCGCACCTTCCCCAGCCACACCGCACTCAAGAGACACCTGCGCTCCCACACAGGTACGGCAGCACCACCGTGGGGACTCGGGGTGGGGCAGCCAGGACGTGCTCCTTCTCCAGGCGTAAAAAAGAAATGGGGGGAAGAAAGGTGATTTGTATTAAAAGCGTGGAGGTGACTAAGTGGCTTGGATTTGCAAAACAAAACAGAAAAAAAAAGAAAAAGCTGTGTGTAATAAGTTGATCTGGTCTGAGGTGGCACGTGACCTTCTTAGGGGGTGTGCGATCATATCCGCCTCATCAGCTTACGGCGGTAGATGCACATAATCAGCTGGTGCTCGGCCCTAATGGGATTAGGGCGACCTGCGCTACGTGTAGCTGGTGCTGCCGTGGCCCTGCTGGGGCAGGGCTTGGCTGCAGGATTGCTGAGCGGGAGAGCACAGCTTGGCCGCCTTACACCGTGTCCTCAAAGAGCCCACACCGTGTCCTCAGCTCCTCTGACAGCATCCCTGGGCAGCTCCGTGGTCCTGGCCACACAATCAGCACCATCATTCGGAGCCAGTCACAAAACACCCCTGAAAGAGATGATTCTTGAGGGATGAGCAGGAGCCTGCAGGATCACAGCCAGTGCCACAGATCTTCACAGCTGCCTGGGTGAAGCATTCCTCACCCATCCTTTGCCCACACAGGTGGGAGCACCCTCACTGCCACCACTGCTGTTAGTGACAGGGAACAAAACATATTCTGAGCAGGGATGTCCCTTCTTTCTCTTGTCAGGCAGGGGCCATGCACACAATCTCCAAAAGGGACGTAAAGGTGGCTGCTGGGGGTTGTGTGGGTGGTGTCAGGGAGGGTTGCCCTGTCCAGCCAGTGGCTGGCAGCTGCCAGACCCACACGTGGGCTAGGGCTCCCGATGTGGGAAATGGGAATCGTGTGTCAATGATAAGCATGTTAATGCTGAGCGCTGGAGCTATTTATAGCCAGTAATCCGGTGACCTGGGCTGCGGGTCGGGCTGCGCGTGTCCCACCCCAACCTCTGCCGCTTTAGTAGCTCCCGGCTGTGAAAAAACACTGGATCATCAGCGCTTTAGGAGCATTTAATCGTGCCACGTGGTGCCATCCTGCACAGCTGCAGGATGCTCCCTCTTGTCCCAGGGCCAGGGTGCTCCATGGGCTCAGGCTCCCCTGAAAAGTGGGCGGATGGAAATACTGGCTGCCTCTGGCTGAAAAATTGCTGTCTTTGACTGTGGGATCAAAAGCCAAAGTGGCAGTTTGGAACTGGGCATGGGGAGGGGAAAGTCAACAACAGCCCACTGCCTGCAGTGCCTTTGGAGGGGGGCTCCAAACTGCGTCCTGAGCATCCTCCTCCCCCCAGGTGCCCAGGCAGCAGCTGCGGGAGGGGGCGAGGGGCCGCAGCACTGGGCTGCGGCAAATGGGGAGAGAGTAAAATATCATTTCAAAGAGGAAGCGAAAGCACAGGCATGTGAGTATATAACGAGAAGGACAATTTATGCCCAGGCACGAGTGCAGTTTGACACGGGGATAATGAAAAAACGTAGGTCATTGTGGATGACTTAAGCCTTCACAGCTGAAGAAAATGTATGAAATGCGGGGAACATTACACGCTTGGCAGCTCCGCACATCTGCAGCAGGACAAGTGAAATACAGTTCGCCATTCTTTACCATAAACTGTGCTTGTAGGATATGCGGCACAGAGAAATTGTAATTACAGTGACAAGACAAATCAGTAATATTTAAATATTCATGAACAAAGTCTCGGACGATCAATCTATCTTTATTGTCCTTGCCTTCGCGGCTGTAATAAATAAGTAGCTGGAGCCCTCACCTTTCCTTCAAATCATTCTGCCTTTGGTGCCGAACCAGAGTTCATTTATCAGCTGCCTGGTCTGGAGTGTGGGAGATACCCAGGGCTGGGTCTGTGCTGGCGCTGCTGGGCGAAAAACCTGGCAATTGGTGAGGGAGGGTTGCAGCACGCTGCAGTCTCTCTACCATGCCACGGACCTGAGCATTCCGTCTGTACAGGCATGAAGGGACAGCACACTGCACTGTGGAAACTGGGATGCTCTGTCCCCAGGACTGCTGGCCGGGGTAGAAAGGCTGGGGAGCTGTTTTTGGTGTGGCACAGCAGTCACGGCAGCCCTGACCCCCACATGTGCTTGCAGGCGACCACCCCTACGAGTGTGAGTTCTGCGGCAGCTGCTTCCGGGACGAGAGCACACTGAAGGGCCACAAGCGCATCCACACCGGTGAGAAACCCTATGAGTGCAACGGCTGTGGGAAGAAGTTCAGCCTCAAGCACCAGCTGGAGACCCACTACCGAGTCCACACAGGTACATGCTGGGGTGTCTGTGGTGAGGCTGGCAATGACAGACCGGTCCCCCAGCGCAAAGGCTGGCATGTGGACCAGGGCAGCAGCCAGGGATAGCGAAACCCCGATGCGCCGGCACGTAACTGTTGTAAATAGGGGATCAATAGTCCCGTCGGTTCTGCTGTTCATTACTTGGTTATCGGCTGTGCCCACTGCGGCAGCGTCGATGCCAGGCACTTGATTTGCACCCGGAGGCCCCGGGCCGCTGCTGACACCCCTGTATCCCCATATCCCACAGGCGAGAAGCCCTTCGAGTGCAAGCTGTGCCACCAGCGCTCCCGGGACTACTCGGCCATGATCAAACACCTTCGGACCCACAATGGCGCTTCCCCCTACCAGTGCACCATCTGCCTGGAGTACTGCCCCAGCCTCTCCGCCATGCAGAAGCACATGAAGGGCCACAAACCAGAGGAGATCCCCACCGACTGGCGGATAGAGAAGACCTATCTCTACCTCTGCTACGTCTAAGGGAGGAGGCAGAGGGGCAGCAGGGCCAAGTGGCAGATGACTGGGCAAAAAAATCCCACCAAACCCGCAGCATCCATGGCCTTGTTTGTTTTCAGTTCTCATTCGTTTCTTCTCGCCGGAAGGATCCTGCAGCTCATGCCGGAGCAGGGGGTGCACCGGCCCCTTCCCCAGCCCCATCCACACTGCTGTCCCAGCTGCTCATGCACCTGCTGCCCTTTCACCCTTGCTGCAGGGGAGATTTCACCCTTTGCAGCCCCCAGCCAGGCCCTCTGGCCCTTGGCATTGGCCACTGGTGTTGCTGGGAAGACCATGTAGGAAAGAGGCGCTTCCCTGAAAGTGTGCATACAGCTAGTGCTCTGGGAAGGCTTTAATTCCTGGTGTCCTCTGTCACTGTGTAGACCCGGCCATGGATGCCCTGCAGAGGACCCGAGCTCCCATGTGGGGCTTGGGCCCTATTCTGACAGGTTCTCATGCTCCCAGGCTGCATCTTCACAGGCAGGAGAGGACAGTGCCCTGTGAGCCACAAGTGCTTTGCCAAGAGCATCCTGAGGAGATCCTGGCCAGAGGAGGTGTTTGGGACAGGGAGCCAACTGTGAGCCAGGCTGCCTTGAGGTGTTGCCTGTTGTCCAGCTGGGCTCAGGGGGCACAGGAGGCTGCTGCTCTCCCCATGACCAAAGACCTCTCTATGCATTTCTCCCTCCTTCCCTGCCTTCCTGAGGCAAGGGTGAAGCCCCCCGTGGGGAGATGCAGTTGGTTTGGTGATGTGCAGTCAGTGCCAGCGTTGGAGCTGTTAGCGTGTGGCATCACTCTGAATGCAGGGATCCTCTTTACTTCTGCTGATTTGGGGCACCTGCAAGGTGCCAATGTGGGTTTTTTTGCCCAGCCCTCAGCCGCAGGAGCCCACAAGTAAGGGGTGCCCAGTGGCAGGCGGCTTTGCTCGCCGCTTTTTTTGCTTTTTGTTTGGGTTTTTTTGAACTTTCTTTTGGAATATTTCCGCGTTTAGCACATTTTACTTGAAATTACCTCGTTTTTTTGTGACCTCATGAGCTTTTATTGATTTGGGAGGGACAGGGGGTGGCATGGCTGGGGTGCATCAGCCACGTGCCCAGCATTGGTGGTGGAGAGGTGGTGGGACAGTGGTGTCCCTGCCAGCCTCCTGTTGTGCATTATCCTTACCAAAACTGGTATTTTTTGCCTGGCCCCATGGGGCTGGGGGTGTTTGTTCTGAAGCTACCTCTTGTGTTTGTTTTTGTTGTGTTTCTCCTGCGCAGCCACGGGTTTGGTGGTTCCATCCCGTGGCTCTTTTTTTGTCATTTTGCTGCGTTTGGGTGAAAAGGGGGGAAAAGGGGCTGGGGAGTTGGGGGGAGAACAGTGTCTGGATACAGTTTGGAGGGACACTGATGGCCCCTCTGGGTTTGGGGTGCTCTTCCCACCTCTCCTGGTGCCAAGCAGGGATACGGCTGTGGGAGCAGCATCCTCCCTCGCGCCCCAGTCCGGCTTTGCACGTGTGTGTGCCTCTGCGCATGGGAGCGTTGCTGCTCTGCGCAGGGTGGACACCGCTGCTGTACAATCTGGGATGTGACTGTGGAGAACGGCTTGTTTAATTGTTGTGCCTAAGAAAAAAACAGAAAAACATTAAAAAAAGAAAACAGTTCTTTCACACAGAAAGTTGCTGCAATTTTTGGCGTGTGCACGGCAGGTCCCCGTGGTGTCCTGGCACTGCCAGACATGGGTGCCACGGAGCACGTGGCCGAGCTCATGTGGCTTTTTTTTTTTTTTTTTTGCTTTAACCTCCCCTTCCATCTCACCATCCCTCTCCCTCAGAGACACAGCCCCCACTGCAACAGTGTTGGGGTCAGCGTTGGAGTGATGCTGCTGTATCCCGGGCGTACGACCCCGCACCGTTGGCTGTGGCGCAGCCCCACCCCTCCATATATATATATATAAGTATATATATGTGTATCATAGCAGTGAGGACCAAGCGCCGCACGGGGCCCCGTGGTCCCGGGCTCCCTCTCCCCTGGCTTGTTGTCAGTGTTGTGAGCGCCCGCCTGCCCGTCCCGTTGCTCTGTGTTGCCGCTCGTGGTTCGGGTCCGTCGCTGTCCTCGTTCCGTCTACCTCAGCACCTCTCTGAGCCCGGGCGCAGAAGGTGCCCAAGTTCCCCTTTGGTTTTCTCAGAGTATCTATCGGCTCCTATTTTTTGTACGACTTTTCCTGTCTCACCGTTTGCTCCCCTGCGGTTCTGCTTGCGAGTCCTCTTTCTGTCCTCTAGCCAAAAAAAAAAAGACAAAAAAAATAAAAGAAGAATATACTGCTGCAGGTTTTTTTCTCTCCATGTGTCACTAAGTGAAGTTCGTGCCTTCTATAGCAAAGAGAATATTTTTTACATCCTACTAACGGTAGATTTTTTTGTAGTGAACATTTTTTGTATTTTTATTTATAAGTCTCATAAGGAAAATAGCAATGTTCAGTTGTATACCTTGAATCTGCAGTTAGAAAACAAAAAAACAACCAATAAAGTTAATTCTGTTGTCTCAGCCTGCTGTCTCCTATTCCTGTGCCAGTCAAGAGGAGGAGGAGGAGGAAGAGGAGGAGGTGGAGGAAGGATGCATTCCACCAGCTTGGGGTGAGCCGAGTGGTGAGTCTGGGGGTGCCTGCTCTGCAGGGGAAGTTGAGGAGGTCCTATCCCTAAACCAGCCCCAGGGGGCAGGGGAGTCTCCCTGGACTGTCAGTGTTCCCATGGGCAGGGAGCATCCACAGCACACTGCCCGTGCTGCCGCCTGCCCATGTGGCTCACCAGGGAGCAGAGCAAGTTTGCCTCAATGAAAGTGAACTCGTTCATTTAAACCTGCCTGCAGAGCCGTCCGGCCCCCCGCTGTGTTAATTATCCTGTAGTTCCCGACTGATTGCTGTACACTAAGCTTAAGCCCTCCTTTATTTATTTACTGACTACATTAACGGCAGCGCCTGCTCTCCTTTTGTGCTGTGGCAAACCGCACAACACCGCAGGCTGCAGCTGGGCCAGGCGGGTGCTGCCAGCACCAGCCAGCCGTGCCTGTGCCCAACGCGTGCTGCCCACCGCCGGCCTTGGCCTCGTGGTGCTGTTAGACATTTGTTACGACACAGCTGGAGTCGCCACGTGCAGAGCATCGTTCCGTTTTTCCCAGGCGTGGATGGCATGTGCCAGTGTCAAGGCCAGGCTCATGCCCTGCCCCGGTATTTCCCAGCAGGTTTGAGGGGCTGGGTGTCCATTCCAAGGTCCTGATGGTAGTCCTGCCTCCCCCAGTCTCCCCAGCACAGCCTCCCAGGAAGGCTTTGGGCAAGTAGTGGGGAACTTTGATCCAGGTTCAGGCAAGCAGAGGTGGTCCTGCTGTGAGCAACCTGCGGGCTGCAGCACCCCGGGAAAAGGGGGGCAAAGCCCCTCTCCAGCGTTCAGCCTGGCACAAAGGCGTTGTTATAATAACGGGGAAATCGCGGTAGGACCGGGCCTTTGTGTGCACGCTCGCACAGCAGCTGGGAGCGATTATGCCGCAACAATGTTCTGTTCCATCAACATTATGTCCTCATTAAACCTTTATTAGGAGATTAGATTCAGATTTATTGATTTTTTTTTATTTTTTTTTTTTAAAGAGGAAAATCCAGGCTTCTCTCAGATGCCTGGAACTTTTTCCCACATGCAGCACTTCCCAAAGTAGCAAGAGGGCAAAGGGAGAATCTATCTTTCCTCCAGCATGGGCAGCCTGTCCTTCCAGGGAAAAGGACTGCTGAGGTGCTTGAGGGGGTTAGGTTGGGTGCACGACAGCTTCCTAGCACAGGGAGGACAAGGATAAGGACCAAAACATTCCATGGGATACAGCAGCACAGGTGAGCATCTTGCAGTGCAGCCCTGGGGGACGTCGCGGTGGAGGGGGCAGGGATGGCAAGGCTGGCTCAGGAGTCTTGCTGCCCAGTACCCTCATCAAACACATGGGTTGGGTGGCATCGCACAGCCGGGTCAATGGCCCCATTGGATTTGTCTGTTGGAGCGTTTGATGTTACATGAAGGCAGCTCATTCCAGAGGGTGTTAATTGCCCGCTGCACTGATCAGGTCTGTAGCACCATCGATCTCAGCAGGATCAATGGGCTGATTTAGTGTCTCACGAACTCTTTAACTGGACACCTCATCAATAGGCAGCCACTTACAGACCATCAGCGCATTAGTGCGGGCCAGCACTGGCAGGAGCCCACTCCACCCATCCTCAGGCCCCGTCACTCAGAGGTAAGTTTTCCTGCAGGTGATGGCTCTGGGATGGTGAGTGGGAGTCTTGCTCTGGGGCTGGTGGGTTTGAGGGCAAATGTTGGAGATCCAGGTGGTGTCGACCCACCTGTCCTCTATCACCTGCAGGCCCATATGCAGAGATGCTCCTAGAGCATGGGATGGGCCCTTATGGCATCTGTAGCACTTTCCTCTCCTCTTTGCCTTGTGCTTCTGTCCTGGCAGGGGCAGATCGACAGCGAGAGCTGGGCACCTACTGCAGGTGTGATGGCAGTCCTGCCCCGCGCATCTCTGCTGGTACCGCGTGCCCTCGGAGTCGGTCCCGTTGACATCCCGTCTGGCCGTGGCCGGACACTGCGTCTCTCCCACTTTGCTAAAACTCCTGAGCACAAGCGTGTTAGGGATCTGCTGGGCAGGTGTGCCCGGGGGCCGGGGTAGGGAATAAAGGCAGCAGGCGGGGTGAGGGGCAGGGGAGCCGAGGACAGCGATGCCCCTGGGGCGCTGGGGATCCCCCGATGCCGGGAGGCGGCTGGGCCGGGCGGCGGGGCCGCTGTCCGCGGTGCTGAAGCCGCGGCCGTGGCCGGGCCGGGCCGTGGGCTCTCCCGGGGTTGGCAGGGGAAGCCTGGAGAGGTTTGGGCAGGGTCATGGGGTCCGGGGGGCTCCTACTCAGCTCCGCCTTCCCGCTGCGGAGCTGAGGGACGTGAGGGATGCGCCCGTCTGGGTCGACAGACACTGGCGAATCCCAGAGCCAGGGAGAACCCGCCAGAGCGAGGTCCCCCGGCCCCCGCCCTGAATAATGGGCACTGCTCAGGCATCCCTCCACACCGACCAGAGGGTGCCCAGAGTGATGCTGTAAGCCAGGACGGCTGCCAAGTACACCCGGAACAGCAGGACATCCAACACGTAGCCCACTTGCAGCCACTCACGGGCGACATCACGGAATTCCTCCCGTTTTTCCAGGAGCTGGCGGATAGCCGTGGTCTCGTGCAGGATCTCCTGCAGCGCTCCCGAGCCCTCCGGCCGGCCAGTAAAGGCCAGTGCAGACCTCGTGCCCCCCACTGCCCCGCACTCCCGGGGGTCCTCACAGGCATAGGGGGTCGGCTTGGCTGAGAGATCAAGAGAAGCAAATGTGAAAAACCTGCTTAGATGGGGAACTGGGATTTGTGAGGGTGAGCTAGGCACCCAGTCCACCATACAAAGAATGGTTTTGTAAGTGTAAGAGCATCTAGACTCCTTCAGTTCCCACAGACCCTCTCTGTGCAACCCTTACCTGTGCTGTCGTTGTTCTCCACCTGCCTGGAGGTCTCCAAGCTTTGTGTCCTGCTTTGGCTGAATGTCTTCCTGTCCCGGATACAGAGCAGGATGGTGGCTCTTTCCAGCAGCAGGTGTTTCACCCACTCAGGGACGTGGGGTTGCAGGTCTTGCTTGTGCACCAGGCGCACAATCAGGATGGTCTCTGTCAGGCTGATGACGAGCAGTGCCATGCACACCACAAAGTAGATGCCTGCAGAGACATCAGTGAGGTGAGTGACCTGCAAAAGCTCGTGCCCAGAGCACGGGCCCAAGCAAATCCTTCCTACTCAGCTCTCAGGGCCCTGTGGTCTCTGCCCATGACTGCCATGGCAGAATCACCATACCTATCAAGGGGGTGCCGACGGCAGTAGCTGGCAATGTGTCGGATACAATAATGAGGAAAACCGAGTAGCCCAGCAGGAGAGTGATCTTGAAAGAGACCCTCTCACCACTGTGGGGAGGTAGGTAGAAGCCCACAATGTCCATAACCATCAGGAATATGCTGGGGAGCAGCAGGCTGACGGTATAGAAGAGGGGGCGTCTCCGGATGACTACCTGCAGGACAGAGACAGAGAAGGCCCTGAAGTTCAGGTGGAAACGATGCCTTCAGCTGGTGTGGCTCTTTGCCAAGGCAGGTGAGGATGATGGGGGCACTAAGGTGAGCCAGAGGAAGGGCTCACTAGCAGGAGCCTCCCATCTGCAGGCAGCAGCTGCAGCACAGAGCAGAGACAGGGATGGGGCGAGTCCCTTCCCTCGTGCCACATCCCCAAGAAACACGGTGGCCAAAGGCTCTTACGTAGAACTTCATTTCAGCATAGCTGTCACTGCTCTTGACGCTGAACTCCTGGAAGTGGCTGAGGATGTAGAGCAGCTCCCACTCGCCCTGGTTCATGAAGACACTTCGGTCGAACTTGACGAGCTCTGGCTGACGCCACAGCGAGAGGTTGATATCACGAACTGGGGGACAGAGGAGAGGCGAGAACTAGGGGTACCCTGCCCAAAGCCCGGCAGCTGTCGGCACCTCCACACCAGGCTGCGTGCCTGCCCTCCCTGCACGCTTCCCCGATCCGCTGGGG